GATTAACCTGGAACCTTGGCCCAGTGGGAAAAACTTGGGCTTCAATAACACTGAGTCAAGTCCGGTTTAGCGAAATTAGTACCTGGATGGGTGACCTGAAACTTGGGCTTACTGAGCTTTTCAGCAAGATATTTTTTCCTTGCAATTTTCAATCGCTTACAATATCAAATTTATTTAGTTGGTAACTGGGAAAAATCTAAAAACTTCTGGGCATTCAATCCGTGSCAAGCTGTGTAACATGTCGCAAAAAATCGACACACAAAAGGCGCAATAGCGTTGCACGAAAAATCGGCGTTGCAAGTTGTCCCGTGTAACACCACCTTAACACAGCACATCGATTACCTTAAGCTATAAAAAAAAAGACAAACACGCGAAACTATATTTTCCCCKTCATCTTTGTTTTGTTTTGCTCCCTGGCAAGGTGGCCACCGCATCGCCGAAGTTGTCTATTGGCAAATATTGAGAACAGCAGGGCTAGCAAGACTGACTCAATGCGTTACTGTACGTCGTTGCGCATCTAAATACAGCYTATGCACACGTCTCTTCTCCGTTTTCGTTAATGACAACAAGCACCCCGCCCTGCGCAATTTCCCCTTCCACCGTTTCCCGAAATTTTCGAAAACGGTCTCCAGAGTGGAAATTTTCGAATACGCTCCGAATACGGAYACGTGTGGACGGTCGTATCCGCAAATTTTCCAAAACGATGACGTAAACACGATTTTGCGCATGCTCAATAAGAAAAACTATCCGTCATAGGGACGGATCATGAAATTTCCGGATACGTGTGGACAGTGAAAACGATTCGAAAACGATTCGAATACGCTGCGTGTGGACGCGAACATTTTTGTATCCCCCCCAAAAAATTTGCGGATACAAAAATTTCCGGATACGTGTGGACAGTGAAAACGATTCGAAAACGATTCGAATACGCTGCGTGTGGACGCGAACATTTTCATATCCGCAAAAAAAAATTTGCGGTTACAAAACTTTCCGGATACGTGTGGACGAGGCTAAGCCTGTGCAGATGAGTCTTCAGTCTTAAAACACAGCGGTATTTACCGAATGAGAAAAGAGACTATCGTTTTTTCTTGTAGACCGGAGACCATGAGCCCATCTACGACTAGCTCTATCGTGAGTACAAAGAATTATCAATTAAAAAGAGACCTTTAGCACCACGTTCTTGCTAGGTACCGCAAACCTTGAACTGCAGTTCGACGTCAGGCGTTTTCCGTCAAACTTTTGGCATTTAGCAAGGCGTCATAATGAAGTTCTTTCTTGAAGAG